TGGCGACCGCTACAGATCCTACAGACCACATTAACGATGCTATCGAGGTCGAGGTCAAGGCCACTACTTAATGAAGCTGCTAAACTGGATTTAACGGCGATGCAGCTGGGCGTGCATGACGACGGAGACATTTTAAACGGGCAATGCTCGCTCGTTTTCGGCACCCCCAAGGCACGGATACTAATAACGTCAAATTCTGGGTGAGTTGTTGATCTCTACTGATTGGTTAGGGAAAAATCAAATTCCCTCCCCCTTGTAAATCGCCCTCAATGGAGGCAATGTCAGACTGAAGGTTCTGGGAGCTTCAGTCTGACACTCAGGCTAACATTTTGGCAAATGTGCATCATGAAAGTCATACTGCTTTGGCTACCTCTGTTTTCACTGCACAGACAACAGTCAGTTATTGTTGGTACAGAAGGAAAAGTCTGATTCTGATAAGTATGAGCCAAGAATTGAAGTTTCTTTAATGATGTCTAAAAAGAGTTATGGAAGTGTATTCTTTATAGACAAAATCAATCCTGGTATCAGTGTAAAGACAGTGGGAGGTGTTAGCGGTGGGCATCACCAGACGCCTAGGATGCAATTTTATCACAATACTTAAGTCAGGATACAATAATATTTCAATTTAAAATGTTTTACAATAACATATATTGCAATATATTTACTTTTTTAATTGTAAATTATTAAGGCTGCCCCTAAATGTCGCTGATTTGAATCATTAGTTGGTGACCTCACAGTCGACTGAGATTGTTTCAAGTCCAGCAGTCATTTTTTGTTTTGTTTTGTTGCTAGTCACTGTGCTGTGCAGTGTACTTCTGGGGACATTTTGGTCCCCAGATTTTGCTACAGAGAGAGTGCTCTTGACTTTCATGCTACTCTTTGGCACAGACAGCTGCAGACACAATGCAACAGCACAGAGGAAGAGAGACGCTGCACTGTAAGGCTCCGAGATAACATTATCTTCTCTCGTCTGCTCAGAAATGGCGAATTTACAGCTCAATATAATACAGTCTCTGGCTTTTTCTTTTTCATATATCTACTGTCGGCAAAAAATGTTGTTGCACTTTTCCGATCTGTCGTTAGCACAGTTAGCTTGTTTACTATATTACGTGATTGCACTGTCACACTGAGCCCGGTCAAACTTTTAAAATCTATATGGAAAAAAACTGAACTGTCGAATATTTGTTAAACATACAAATGTGATTCGACTGACATTATTCTGAGTCGGGTACCCCCCGACAAATTATGTCCCCAAAGGAAAAATTTGTCAAGTAATGTCTAATATCTAATGACACTGGTATATTTTTTATCTATAAAGCAATACTGGGCAAACTCTCGGCCCACCTCTGCACCCTTCTGTGTGTCAGCTCTGGTAGTTTCCAGCTACGCTCCTCCAGGTGGTTGCTTTTTAAAGTACACCAGGTTTTTAACAGATCTGGGGAAAACTGCATTCTCCTACTCTGCACCATGGACATGGAACAATCTTCAAAAGATCTAAAATTCGTAACACTTATATCCATCGATGATTTTAAGGGCATCAAAAAGAATGTGACAGAGACGTGCTTGTTTTTCTTGAGAGGACACTCTGTTTGAATAGGTGTTGTTTTATGTTGTATTTGTTTCATTTTAAATGTGTTTTGATTGGCTGCTACTTTGGCCAGGTCTCTCTTGTAAAAGATTTTCAATCTCCGTGGGACTTCCTGGTTAAATCAAGGTTAAATAAATACATAAAGTTTTCAGTCAGTACATCTCAATTCAATCATTTTTATTGCAGCAAATGTAACTAGTGGACTGAGAGAAGAATTAATTTAATTATTCTAGTAGGCGACCAAAAGTTTAACTTGTCTTTGGCATACTAATAAAATATGTGATACAGAATCGACACTTTGCATCCATGTTTTGATGCAATATTGCAAGGTATTGCGATCCAATGCTGTATTCAATTTTGTGAATTTTCTTCCACCCTTACGTGGTGTGTGTGATGTCTGTGAAAAACCTGGATGAAGTTCATATACTTTTAGAATGCATATATAAACATATACATTCACATTTGTTAACATCCCTTCTAAAGACGCAGTGCTGTTGGAACATATAAGGTTATGCTGAGCAGAGAGCAGCTCAGAGAGCAGAGGATGTAAAAGAGCTTCAGGGAGGTGGAGACCTTCTGCCAATGAAGAATCAATGCAATTACTCTGTATGGCTCTCCTCATCTAAGACTGGCTCGCAGCCATGTTAAAAGCAGCAGCAGCAGCAGCAGCACTCGACGTGTGTGAGCTCCTCCTGACACGCCTTTCACGGTCTGAACATCCCGTGTCACAACAGGAGTTAAACTCCTGTCGCTCCCCAGAATCACCTTGTCGCCCCCGTTGTCTGACGAGACCTTTTCGCTGCGTCCTCAAACACACTGATGCATTCAATTTATTCATGGGAAAGGAGGGGGGGAGATAATGGTAGCGCTGAATGTGTATGAGTGGGAGAAGGTGGAGAGTTGTTCTGAATCGGGACAGACACGCGGAGAAAGTGTGGGAGGACCAACGGAGATGCCAGGGTGATGGATGAGAGAGAAGCTCCTCTGCTCACCAGAGTTTGGAGAGGAAGAGTTGAAAAAGGAGAGTTTACAGAGACTGGGCCTATAAATAATGACCCTGAGGTGCACGCTTCTCTGTTTAGTGTAAATAAAAAAAAAACATGTTGATGTTTGTAATGGAAGACATACTTTGCTTTTGAGCTTATCGTGCCATAATTAAATGATAATAATAATAATAATAATAATAATTAAAAAATAAATCCAGCCTTAGGTTTTCAAAAGAAAATTATGACGTCACAGCAACTTTCATCTTCGCCTTGCGTTCTGTTTTGCTCTATCAGTGAAAGCCAAAAGGCCCATAATCCTCAGATAAGTCTACTAATCAACTAATACCATGGACAGAGTGTAATCTCATCAACTCACTAATCACCTCTCTGCCTCTGGTTCTACATCAAGACGTTAACACACACAAACACACACCCTTTATGTTTACAGTAAGTGCACGCAGGGGAATGAACGCTATAGGGCACCTGCTGCAATATTAATATATTTGGGGTGACATTGATCGCTCCTTCCCTCACGCACACACACAAACACACGCATAGACATGAACTCATTTGCTTGCAAGAACACACACAAATTTTTTTCCTCCCCCATGATTTAATTTTAATCACACAGTGCTGCAGTTCTCCCAAGTTTTGAGGGAGCATGCCACTGGCTGTTGCATGTGAACCCAATGTTCATTTCACTATCATAAGATAGCTCTAATGTCCTTTCCTGGAATTTGGCGGTACATCCAACCGGCATCACATCTGCAGACCACATGTAACCACACCAGATCAGGACCTCCGTATCCAGCACTTTCACCTGCAAGATCATATGAGACCAGCCATCTGAACAGTTGATGCCGTATGGAAGCTCATGTGCATGCTCATTGTCCTCTCTGGGGTCTTGACCTGACAGCAGTTCATCGTCGTTGTAGCGACTATACTATCAATGATAAAGCCACTAAGAGGCTGAGTAGGCTCTTTACTGTGACTCGTTCAATAAATCCATGCTAAAGCAAAATGAGATGAAACAAACTGTCATCTCACCAAACATAGGAACAGTGTTTGCGGGGGGTCGTTACAACACTATATGAATAAATACTTATACCAGAAAATAGACATCAATGAAATACAATTAAACCTGAACTATCCAGCAATAAATCACAAACTTAAAGTCCAGTATGACACTCACACATCAAACATCAGCAGTGACCATTTTCAGAAAAAGTGACATTTGGCATTTATTTTCCTTACTGCCGTTAAAAGAACATTTCGGCGCCAAAAACTCACTATCTTGGTCTAAAAGCCGCCACACCAGTGAATGAACAAGTAAAATAACACCCACACCCAACCCTGTGCCAGTTACAACTACTGGCAGTGAAAGTGACCAAAAGAATGCGTGCAGCCCAAACAGATTTGTGCAGTTGTGAGGCTGGTTGGATGTACTGCCAAATTAAGGGAAACAACGCTGGACACATCTTATGGGGGGTAACTGGACATTAAGTTCATTGCCAGCATTTTTAGTGGACAATCCTGCAGTCAGCATGTCAGCATGCTCCTTCAGAACTAACAATTTAGAGTGGCCTTTTACTGTGACCATCCCAGGGTGCACCTGTGTAGTAGTGACACTGTTCAATCAGCATCTTGATATGCAACAGGTGGATGGATTATCTTGGAAAAGGAGAAGTGCTCACTAACACTGATTTTAACACATTAGCGACCAGAATTTGTGACAAGTTTTTGTATTGAATGCACAAATAAAGTCAGATGTTTAACTTAAACCTGTGAAAAATGGAGCAAAAACAAAAGTATTGCTTTTAAATGTTTGTTTGGTGTATTTGGGATGACATTTCTCTCTCTCTCTTTCTCTCTCTCTCTCTCTCTCTCTCTCTCTCTCTCTCTCTCTCTCTCCCTCACACACACACACACACACACACACACACACACACACACACACACACATAGAGAGATATGAACCCACTGCTTTCAAGAACATACCAAATTATTTTTGTCCTTCATAATTTAATTTAGATTATGAGCCTGTCTGTCTCTGTTTTTATTGTTTATCACAGAAAAAACGGCTCTGGCTCAATTCAAAACTATTTTTCAGTAAGTTCTTTCATTATTAAATTGAAGATGGAAACTAAGATTCTGCGCTGGTCTATTATGGGATGATTTCAGACTTCAAAGCTAAACTTAATAAATTTAATTTGGAATTCAGAGGTTTCCATGTTATTCTCGTTTGAATAACAGACCATATTTAGAAGGTTTATTTGTAGATGTAAACCAGCTCCTATGTCTCCCTGCCTCTCCACCTACCTGTCTGTCCTCCACCTCTTCCACAGCGCTCCACACATTACCACTGATAGGCAGGTAAAGAAATAGCAACACCGTGCATATGATAATTAGTGACTGCATGCCTGTACCTTGGTAACTGTAGAGATCTCCCACACTGTTCTGACGCGTGATGTGCTGCCAGTAGGCGCTGCGTGGCAGGGAGATGGACTTGGTTAGCGTCTCTCTGGGGTGGATCTGAAACAAGACAGAGAAAGCTTACAGTGTCTCTCACTTCCTGTCACTCTCAGTCAGTCACTCACAACAGGGGAAATTGCTCTGGGTGTGTCAGTAAACAGAAAGTGCTCATAGTTCGGTATATTGCCGGTTGAATGGCATGTTTCCACTCTGGATGGCTGTTTGGCGGGCGAGATGAGGATTCATTTGGGATCATGATTATTGTTGTGGTGCTGGCTGATGTGTTTTAGAGTTTTATTTGTGGTGTGAAACTAAAGGCTTCATCGTAGAACCAGGCTACTTCTGGAAATATATGAAAAACGCCAATATTTTAGAGAAAGGAGCAGAGTGAAGCCGAGTGAATCTGCATTTTCTTACCCACTCTGTGGCAGCGAGTGGTCAGTTTTGTGTAGCTATCCGTGTGATTTATAGAGCTGAGGGTAAATGCTGCATTTGGAAACGTTCCCAAATGGTGGGGTCCAAGAGCATGGCCATATGGTCAAGGCTCATCAAACACTAGGCAGGCCTACATAAATAAAGAATACAGATGATAGTGGGGAGGGGAGGGGAGGAAGGACGGAAGGAAGGAGGGAGGAAGGAAGGGATGGACGGGTGTTGTGATGGAAGGAGGGAGCGGAGGCCAAGACCGTGGGGTGTCAAGAGGGCTCCTGGTCCAAGGCGGCTCTTTGGGGAAAGACTGGGCAGCGGTACGTTGAGAGAAAAGTGTATTCTTATGTGTGTGTGTGTGTGTGGGAACGTTGTGTGTGAAAATCATGATTTATTGCCTTTGTGTTCGTTGGTTTCTAAAAATAATTCTGTGAACAGCCTCAGTGGCATTGTAGTTTGATCCGCCTAAACCAAACAAAGAAACCAGTGAAATAATACAGACATTTTTAAACAAAAAAATAGATGTATATTTTAATATTTGTGTACGGATGCAGTCTTTGTACACATGAGTCTTGCTCTGTGTTTCTTCCAGGATTAGGAATAGCCGTATGTGACGCACGCTTTGCATGCATTCAATAATTATCCCCGGAACGATGGCGTGCTGACACTTGCGCTCATTATTAGCTGTTTGTAATGTTGGCAGCACAAGAATAAAACCGATGGCCTCGTTGCGAGCTGCTGTGGGTGATTCAGACAAACAAGCAAAAATGTAAAAATGTACCTGGGATCTCTTCTCCATCTCCTCCATCATCCTCTCATGCTGCTGGGCAATGGCCAGCGTGGCCGAGTGGACCCGCTGGTAGATCATCTCCCCCTCCCGCGTCTGGAACGTGAACAAACCCTCTCCTGTGTCACACATCCTGCGCCAGGAACACACACACAGAGACAGAGAGAAGTGCACACGCTTTGATCGTGCTCACTCTTGGATTGCTGATTTACAAAAATGCATGCTTGAATGTGCACTTACAGGGAGGCGCATTGATATAATAGCCCACTGAAGTCAAACACACACACACACACGCACACACACACACACACATGCGTGAGTAGATATGGTACACAAACAAAGACACACATTCACAGAGGCACCTGTCACATCAATGCCTGAAGGGCTCTGCGGCAAATGCTGATATCCTGGGATGTTTTCGATATCCAAAGTTGCTTTGTTGAAGTTTTTATGACATTTCCAAAAGTTTTTTTTTTCTACCCCTCCCACCGCTAACATTTCAATCACTGACACACACAAAACAACACAAGCACTTATCCTCATGCACACACACACCTTCCGGACTCAAAAGTGAACCAGGTGGAGTCTCGTCCATATCTGCGCAGGGAGCTGAGGGGCCACATGACAAGTTTGAGGCGTGCGTTGTGAATGTCCCACAAGTAGATGTTTTCGTGGGTGATCTGCATGGTGCACTCCCCGTAGATGTCCAGATTTGGGGTGGGCATTAGGTACACGTTGAAACGCTCTGGAAAGATTCACAAAAAGCCGATTTTAAAAAGGGAACAGTGGCAAACTGTGAACTCTGAGATGGCTATTTACATCCAGTGTTAAGGGGTTGGGTCACAATAGTTTTGGTTTTGTCCACGTTTCAAGACGTATGCCTCTATCTCAGCACAATGGAGGTGAATAGAATTTTACTTTTGGCACTTGCAGCACTTAAAGCTGACATTTAAACGATACATCTCTTTCCAGAAACATTGACCTGTTACCTTCGATAATCATCAGGACACACTGTGAAATGTTTTCAGGGAAATTAGGACAAAGCCTGACAGAACGTATTCAGACCCCTTCACTCTCTGCGCATTTTATTGTGTTGTAGATGTAATTTTAAATGGATAAAATTGCCATTTTTGCCCATCTATCTACACTAAATAACCCAAAATGACAAAGTGAAAGTATGTTTCTAGACATTTTTGCACATTTATTAAAGAACAAAAACTAAAATCTCTTATTAGGTATTCAGACTCTTTGCTGTGGCACTTCAGATTGTGGTCAGGTGCATCCTGTTTGCTTTAATTATCCCCAAGATGTGTCTTGAACTTGATTGGAGTCCACCTGTGGCAAACTGCATTGATTGGACAAAGGCACACAACTGTGTGTATGAGGTCCCACAATTCACACTGCATGTGCAGGACAAAAACCAAGCCATGAAGTCTTACGCCCAACATGCCATAGAAGACTTTTAAAGGACTAAAGTCTGACACCCTCTTGCATCTAAAGATAATATAAGTTTTTAGTGCTGCTATTACACCAAATTCCCTTTAAGAAATATGACATGTTAACAATTCCTTTAGTGTCCGCAAAAACACAGAACTGTAGGGATGCTGCTGCTCTCCCTGCCTTAGAGTGCTTTCACACCTGCCCTGTATGGTTTGGTTGAATCAAATTCAAGTTCATTTGGTGTGCACCAAATAAACCGGACTTAGACTCTATTGAAGAGGTGGTCTCGGTCCAGTTACAAATAAACTCTGGTGCAGTTAGTTTGTGGTGAGAACGTGTTCCGATCTCAATCTGAACCAACTGCAGTCACATGACACATTGTTTGGGTTAAACATGAGCATGTTACAGTCCTGGAGGATTATTAATGTGCACCTCCTCCTGTACTGCCTTAATATGCACATTCAGCACATCCAATGCATCAAAACATTGTTTTCTAGTTGGAGCCGCGCCTCGTTTTCAAACTGTATGGTTTGACTAAAATGAACAATGACAGCAATATAGTCCACGATGAGCAGCGCTAAAATCAACCTGTGTAGTTGTCCCTCCATTGTGACATTAGTAAGTGTCATGTTTATCTTGCAAGTGTACTCTTCTTCAACGTTTTGTTTACTTCCTGGATTTTTTCCGCATGGAAATTCTGACCAATCAGGAGCAGCTTATCGCGCAAGGCATTTGTTCTGGTCCGCTTGTAAATGCTGCCGTGAGAACACGAACCAACTCTGGGCAATTATGCAACTTGGTAACACAATCAGTCCCTGATTTGGACCAAAGCAAGAAAACTCTAGGTCTGAAAGCACTCTGAGGCTGTCCGTGTAGGCGAATGGAAGGGCAGGGAGGTTTGCTCTCTCTGCCCCAGGCTTTTCTTGTTTGCGCATGGAAGGGCAGACAGGTGTGCTCTCTGCCTTAAGACTTTCCATACAGGCGCATGTAAGGGCGGAGAGGTGTGCTCTCTCCACCTTAGTCTTTCTGCGTAAGCCTAGGAAAAGCAAAGAGGCCCCAGAACAGAGCCACACTGCCAAATATAATATTGCAAATGGAAATAAAGTTTTCTTTGACTAAAGTGGTCCTGACTGAACTAAAATTTCTCACTGAAATGAGTACTGGTTGGTGGGTGAGGTACACACCAATTTAAAAACATACTTGTTTACCCCACAACTCCACCAGTTTCTCCTCCTTTTCTACAGTCCAAGAGAACAGAGACGTGTTCATGTTCTTGCACCTCCCTAGAGTCCCCTCCATATTTAATGTCTACCCAGTTCTGCTGCTTTTGTTTGGTTCTGGAGAGACCACAGCTAATGGTTGCTGCTCACATCACTGAGCTCCAGTTTTTGTGTGGGCCAAGACAAAAAATTTACGATAACATTAAACGTGTGATTTTCAACGTCAAGATGATAAAAAGACTTAAGACAGCTCAGACTGAGTTTTATGACCACCTTAGACAAAAGGATTGAAATCACAGGAGCGTGCACCAACTGAGGTAAAACTCTCATGATTATATTCCAACTCTGAAAAATTGTCTGCGACCGTGTGATCGCATCTCAGGTCATTTGGTGTAAGGCCGGCATTAGGAATAGTGGCGAGGCATAGATCAGGGCAAAAGTATGAACCCATTTCTAAAGCTCTGAGTGTTCCCAGGAGCACAGTGCCAAGTAGAGTACAACAACCCTTTAAAAAGGGTATTTTAAAAAGCACTTTACCTGACTTCACCTGCAGTGGGTCTAAGTAGCCATCCAGTCAGCTAGACTGGGATCAAGGAGCCAAATCTGCCCATTCACATTAAACTAACTCTCTGAGGCAGACAGAGAGGAAGAGAGGAGGAGAGACAGAGAGGGAGCGAGTTCTCCATAATCTAAATTAGTTCTCACTAATTACGCTTAATGATTCAAAATAAGCCATGTGTCTGCAGTGGATAGAAAATGGCAATGTCATAGTGTGGCGTATTTTTAGGGACAGTGAAAATGAACTCTGATCTAATTATCGGCCCCTGCTGTTTGGGGAGGGCTACTAATTGAAACATGGTTGCAGGCCGAAGCCTCTTGTTTCCTTCAGTCATCCAGGCAGCAGAGAGGCACTGGCTCAGTGTGTCTCCGTAACACACTGCTGCAACTTTTGCACGAGGACCAAACTTCTACCACAACAGAAGGGAGAGGAATTGTGTTGTTACAGTTCAGTCAGCTCAGTCAAAAAAAAATGTGTATTGATATCTTTTAAAAAAAATGTGGCCAAGTTATGTTGAAGAATATAATTTCACTTCACGGCTGCGGTGAAATGAAATGGGCTGAAATGACGGCAGATTCTTTTCAATTACTCGCCCTTTTACAACTTTAAACTGCTCTTCTTTGCCTGTTGCCTTTTCAATTTCCTCTGCGAGTTTACAAATTACACAGAGAATGAGCTCCAGTGTGATAGCAGCGCCCTGTTGTCTCCTCTCTTTTCCATTTCCATTTCCTGTGAGTGGAATATGTGGGGAAGCACATTTATTTCACATGGCTTTAGGAGCCATAATCTCATCCATCTCTGTGACAAGCTTCATTATGAGGGAAGCCAGTGATGCACAGCACTTCTCATTAGGGCTGGAACAGAGCCCCGACCACAGCCTGTGACCTGTGCTCTAACTCACACACACACAGGTTTCTTTCAACACACACACATCTGAATGTACCTCTGAAGTTGAACCAACATGTGCTAATGTAGCTAAAGACTGTTACAGGGGACTTCAGATCAGATATTGGCCTAATTGGACAGTGGCTGTTCTGCTCTCCTAACCCTCTGAGGACTCAGTTGCATTAACACATGCGGGCCTGGACTGCAACCGCTAACTGCTTGGTGGCGAGCTGAGTGTGAGAGATTGACCCTGAATGGCTGTCTGTGTTAGCAGGGACTAATTGGGCACTCACCGTTCTGCTCCCGCTGCACCCCCGCCGCTAACAGGTCTGGCTCTCCCAGGCTGATGTCGTTGAGACGGCTGCCCAGGCACTCCACGCACAGCAGCTTACACCATTCCTCTGCATCCAGCTCTGCACACAGCGGCACAGCATTAAGGCATGTCCACCATCAAACACACACACACACACACCTCCTCCATATCCAGACCTAATAAAACACAGATCATACTACAACAACTGTGCCTTTAGTGTTTACACATGCACATAAATCAACGAAGGAATTTCAGAATAAAATGCTGCATGTTCAGAACATGAGTACTGCTAACAGTAACCGGGGGGGGGGGGAAATCAATCCAATCGATTGGGTGCAGATTAAAAGAGGAGGTGGGTTCAGCAACAGCCAAAGACAGATGAAAGCGAGGTTTCTCCTCCCTCTCCTTTGCCAATACTCAGTTCTAAGGCTGCACATTATAAGTAGTTCTGCTGGAACAAAGTGGCCACAGCCGAAAATGAAACTGGTGATCACCTATTCAGACGATCAATAAGCTATTTTCCAAACTGAAGCTGCTTGTTAAGTGGACAGGAAATGAAATGAAAAAAAAAATAAATATTTGAACAGAATGAAATGGTGAGAGGAAAATACACACTTATTTGCTTTGGTATCGAAATTTGGATGAGATAACTGACACCACGCTGATGTCTGTGCGTTAAATAGGAGGCTAGCGTGAGTAGCCACTTAGCTTAGCTTAGCACAAGGGTGTAACAGAGAGCCTGGTAACAAATCTGCACACCAGAAACAGCTCACTAATTAACACATTATTTCTTGCTTGATTAATCACTACTGAAGCCGGAGCACAACATGTTGGGGGTTCTAAAGGGGTTAGGGACTGTTGGAAGTAGCTGCGTATCTAGTGTCGGCCACTGGTTCCCAACTGGTCCAGCCACAGGGTCCAGATTTCATTAGTCATTAGTTTAAGGTCCACACAATTTAATACATTCAGCTTCATACTTGTGTTTGGCCATGTCATCAAGCTAGTTTGCTGTCTGTGTTAAGTAGGTGTTCCTTAGTCACTCACTCTACAGCAGGAAACAGCACTTGTGAGTTACTTGCGGTCCATTTAGAATGGACCTGCGACCCCACTTTTGGACCCCCATCCGCCAGTTGGGAACCACTGGTAAAAGCTATGATATGAGAGTCATAAGAGTAGACTTTGGGGGAGACGCAGGTGACATGTTCCCCTCAACAGGGGTGTGGCACCATATTCTGGGCCCCTGCAGTTTTTGTGGGCCCCCTGTTGTTATGTCTCTCTCACGCACCTTCTGAACCTTTTCACACCTTTTTTTATTTTACAAAGTCAGGTCCCATTTATACGACAACGATTTCAACTGAAAATGGTAAACTTTAGTTTGGTTTTGGCCGACTGTTTACACAACAGTGGCGTTTTGGGTGCCTGAAAACACAACATTTTGAAAACGGGTTCCAGAGTGCAATTCTTTGGAAACAGCACCGTCTCTGTTGTCATGTAAACTTGCAATATGCAGTTACTCTGAAAACGGAGACTTTACGCACATGCGCATTACGCTTCCAGTCACTAGGCATGCACGAGAAAGTTGACCGTTACAACATGGTGGTCCCGAGCTCTGTTTGTGCCGCTCACCCTGTTGAATTTATCAACACTTCCCCATCATAGTGTAGATTTACTGTAGCAACTCCACCAGACAATCGTTTTTTATACATCGCCGCTGTGTAGAGGGAAGCATAAGCGTCACACCGCCAGCTTCTGGCCTGGCATGTATACTGCAGCGTTTTTGGTCATTTTTGTGGATCCGTGTGCACGGCGATTGTTATCAAAACGTTGTCGTCTAAACGCGGAACTTTTTTCAAAATGAAAATGAGAAATTATTCGTTTTTCAGTGGATCGTTTTCGTGTGAACATGGCCTTAGTTTGCTTTCTCTGATCTCCTTTTCATGGGGGAAAAACATGACAATGTATGTTAAGAGCAGTCGCTCACTCGGCTTTAGCTACATTTGGAGAAAAAAAAATCCTAGTGTAAGGCTGGACTAAACCATTCTGCGTCCTTATGGGGTGAGAGGAGCCTCAGAGAGCTCCCCACTATTTCTTTTATACAAAGTTCGGCCTTTAAACTAATTTATTCAGCCAATTTTTATTTTTATTTTTTTTAATTAAGCTTTATTTAACCAGGAAGTCCCATTGAGATTGAAAATATCTGTTACAAGAGAGACCTGGCCGAAAGTGGCAGCAAATAAAAACACATTTAAAATGCAACAAATACAACATATAATACTGTACAAAAACTATTCAAACATAGTGACCTCTCAAGAAAAAAAGCACATGTCTCTGTCACTACATCCATTATGATGCCTTGCAATGGATATAAGTGTTTCTAATTTTTTGAAATTTTAATTTAGTTATGGCACTAATTACTAAAAAAAATAAAAATAAATAAATACATAAAGTTGCGAACTAAACTTTTTACTGCAGGCTTTTCAAAGGCCCCCCTCCCACATGGGCCCTGGGTATTCAGTCCCACTTTTGCCGCCACTACGACACCCCTGCCCCTCAATATTTAGAACATGTGCATTTGTCCATCCCCTATAAAAACATAGAGGTAGCAGAGGATTTTTTTGACAAAATGAAAGACATTTACACTATAATTTGATGCAGAAAAGGCACAAATTGGTGCACAAAAAATCACCAGAATGCAGGAAATTAAGTGTTTGAAAATTTCCACCCCCCCAAATGTTGAAACCAATCCTATGCCCTTGATGACAGTGTTATCATTAAACTCTGCAAGAAAGCAAATGAAGCAACATGGAACTATTTGTTTAAGCGCTCACTGTATAGAATAAAGCAGAACAACTACGATTATATGATTATTAAAGCATCATTCTTGAGGAATTATATCTACAGTACAGCATAAAGGAGGGGGGTGGCATTCATTGTAAAATTAAATGTTTTAATTAGAGGCTAAGTGGAGACAGATGATTTCACAAGTCAAATAAGGATGTCTCTGCAGCAGTCTGTTGTTTGTGAACACCATTTCACCTTCCTGTTAAGTCAGGAAAAAACAGTATTTACAATAGAGAGGATTTCCAATTGTCTTATGTGAGCTTTCAGTGAGAGTCACTGAGGTATGAAATGAGGCAAATGCTGGAGTTGGTTATCTTTCTGAAGCTCCTTAACTCCAGGCCCTGTGGAATTCTGGGATATGTTAACTATGGCCAGTGATGTGTACAGACACACTTATGGAAGCACTTGAACAGCAGAGTGTTTCTGTGTCTATTAATCTAAAGGTGAATGCGTGCTTGTGTAACATATGTGCGTGTGTGTGTGTGGAAGTATTTTCACTCCATTCACTTGAAACTAGCTTGTGTGATAGCTGACAGCCTGTTTGTCAGATCAACTGTAGTGTCCAATGGGACAGATCTACACAACTTTGCAGGGTGAAAGAAAGGTCTGCCGCTGCCTCAAGCACTTCATTCACACAACAGAAAGCAGAAATACAGATGCACACTCACACTCACACACACACACACACACACACACTGAGAGGCAGCAGCTCTGCACTTTAGCTCCTTGCTCATGCCTCCCCAGATTCGGCTTTCTCATTCAGAGTTGCCATGGCCTTTGAGTGCCTCTAAACTCCCACACTTTTAAGGCCAGTGAGTGGAAAATCGGCTAAACAAACACTTCATCAGCGCAGAGGCAGCCTCGCTCGTCTATGTGCCATGCATGAAGAAATATGGTAGGAGGATGTCTCTGTGTGTGCGGAGGTATAGGTGTGTGATAGAATAGGATGGAGTAGCATTTTTTTTGTTGCAGGAGAACAACAGAATGAGGCCCAATCAGGAGACTGTCAGGATGGAGTACAATCGTACGCAGTTGACACATTATTCAATCTGCAGGTCACACTGTCTTTATCTCTTTATGCATATTTTGACAGATGCACCCAAAGCACACCTGTCAAAAAAATGTAAGCTCTGTTACTGTCTTTTGTTCAGCGTTTCATTAACACTACACAACATGCCACCGCGTGGATGCAGGCATCAGAAGGTTATTTTTAAAAATAACATGTCAGGATATCATCATAAAGCCTTATTGCTCCCTTTTTTTCTCTTAAAAAACAACAACAACAAAAACAGTCACCACTTCAAAACTATTTGGCTTCGTTTGGATGGCAGCCCTCAAGTAAGTTTGATATTTGCTTTCTAACTGCCAGGTTCAGTTTTGAGATCCAAACTCCCATTGACATTGCACAGTAGTGGGAAGACTGCGTGCCAAATTAGCATCTGATGTAGGTAAGCTCTCATGTAACCTGACCCAGCTGGACCTGGCAAATAATTCAGCTCTGGAGTACATTTGTACTCTTTCACTATCATCACAAAAGGTCCTAGAAAGCAGAAAAATAAAGTATTTTACTACTAAAATAGATGGCAACCTCCTTTCTGGACTTACGACTTTTTAAAAACATAACTTAAAGGTCCAGTGTGTAAGATTTAGGGGGATTTAGCGGCATCCAGCAGTGAGGATTGCAACCAGCTAAACTTGTTTAGAATTGCTTCAGTGTTTGTTGCTCAGGAGGTTTTTATCGTGGGCAGATTATCTGATTATCTGAGGCCAAATTATCCACAGGTCTCCTCCTCCTCAAAACAAACGGACCAGGTGATTTAAACCGGTAAAAACGCTAATAATGTTTCTCTGATGCTATCTGGCAAATGGAAGACGGGCCACTAGTCCAGCACCAGCTTTTTTGCTCACATTTTTCCTCTGATAACATAGGTTCCAAATGTTCAGAAGGTTTTCATCGTGAGCCTAATTATCCACTGACTTCTCTTCATCTCTAAAACAAACAGACCAGAGTTCTCATTTATAAAACAATGCACAGGATCCATACTAAAAATGTACGTAAGCGCATTCTTAGCTCTGCTCCGCTCCACTCCATCATAAATTTTATCCCGCTCCACTCGCTCACCACTCCTCTCAAAAAAACTGTGTCGTACTACCCTAACCTGTAATCTTCTATTCACAAATAAAACATGAGCTTGGTAGATTCTCTGGGGAAGCCCTCTCCCCGCAGTTAGGGACCGTTCTACACGGTACCGCTGTCGGCAGGGTGGAAATAAGTCAAAGTGTAGAGGAGACGGACAGAGTTAAGCGGCCGACCTCCAGGGAAGCCCTCTCGCCTCTCCCCGCAGTTAGGGACCGTTCTCCAAGGCACCGCTGCTTCTCTTCTCAGTTGCTTTTCTGAAGTACACAGTAAACTCCATAGTTTTGAAAGAAAATAGTGTGGGTGTGAGCAGGTGCAAAGATGCATTCTGGGTGGGGCATGAGCGACCGGAGCGAAATTGGAGCGAGAGATAAGGCTCCGCTCCACCTTTTAAAAAAAATAGCCGCTCCTCGCTCAACACAAAATCCTTCCGCTCCCAGCTCAGCTCCGCTCACATGCTCTGACATACACCATGAACAAAAGCCTAAAATGGTGTGTGCCGAAAAATATTAGACAATTTCTACAATCAGGTTTCCACCTCACCATCTGTCGTCAATTTCCCATCCCCAAAATGTTCGTAAGCATGCATCAAAGTTTCTCCTATGAAGTCTGTTTGTACGTCTCTTTCAGGCCTCGTTTTGTGCATATACAATGTTTAATTAATGAGACCCCTAGTAAATTAAACCAGTAAAAACAGTTTTATGTTACAAATCAGTGTTTGTCCGATGCTGTTTGGCAAATCTTTGCTCACATTTTTCCTCTGATAACATAAGTTCCAAATGTTCAGGAGGTTTTCATCGTGAGCCAAATTATCTGCTGAGGTCTCTTCATTTCCAGAATTAGCAGACTAGGTTATTTAAACCAGTAAAAACATTGAATAAAGCGCTTTCACGTAAAAAAAAAGTCTGTTTTCCCTGACGCTCTCATCGTGGAGGGGCTGCCGACATGAATATGACGGCCATGCTAATACGCATAAAGCCCTGTCTAGAGTCAGAGCTAGCGGTCACAGGTTCGATTCCAGCTTGCAACCATTTGCTGCATGTCACCCCCCCGCTCTCTCTTTCTCACCCCATTTCACTCTGTCCTGTTCATTAAAGGCAAAAGCCTGAAAAAATAATTTTTAAAAAATATATGTTTGTTTCATTAATGTGTTTAAGTCAAACTAAAAAACATTTTTGAGTAGGATGGAATTAAAATAAATAAGTTAGAATACCTTAAATAAAATAGTTTGACCACTAAATATCAACAGAACTTTTGGATAAATATTAAGTTGGGTCAGCTTAGGTTTTTCAAGGTCAAAGCAAATCATGTTGGTTTGTCAGACTATAAAAGGTTCATGGGATTTACTCAATAATGCCAGAGTTGGAACTACTTAAAAAGATGCATGCAAATTGTCAACGTAATTTTTTTTAGGTTGAACCAGTAGATAATTTTCAGAGTGTGTAAACAAGGCGGCACGACATGGCTGTCTCTGTAGACAAAGACCCACTCCCTGTAGATATAAATAGCTCATTCTAAGGTACCGAAAACATAATGACTCTTGTTTTAAGGTGGTATTCAATTTCTAATATACCCCCCTAAATCCTACACATTGGATCTTTAAATAAAAAACAAGTTGCATGAAAATCATTAACATCATGTATTTCCTCATACTGTGGTCATCATGTGGATGTCTAAACCAGGTGCTGAGTGCGGGGTGTAAATGTAAGGGGATTCCAGGAAGTGAAGGACTATGGGAGGTCATGGACGCAGAGTGATAGAGACATCCATATGGTGGTGTGAGTGGAGGGGGAGGCAGTGTGCATGGAAATGAGCCAAGAGAGAGAGGAAGAGAGAGTGAGTGATCATGGAAAAACAGAGTAAAGGCAAGGAAGAGTTCACCACTCCCAGTTCAATATTTCCCCTGAGGCTGACTGCTACACACGTGCGCACACACATCCACGAGGCTGGAGTTAAAATGGAGACGTTCATCCTCGTCTGCTTATCGGTTGCATCCACCTTATCTAGCCCCCGGCTTCCTGTACGCCAGCTCCCTTTATTTGCACCTTAAGAACACACTGTTGAATCCCAACCAACCGTGTGCAGATCATGTGCCTCTTTGGCTTCCTGTCCACGTATTAGAGGCAATCTCTATTGTTACAGTCCATAATTGGGTTGCAACACACTGCAAACGATGCCCAATATCGTTTTTCATACCTGCAGTATGAAAATCAATATTTCGGAACAGATCCTCCCACTTCTTAATATAGCGGCAAATGAGCATCACTTGGCTAAACTCCAATTCTCCACTGCCTCTTTCACCTCTCCCTCTCTCTTCCTGCCTCTCACTGAAGTTGTTTCCTCCTCCGCTTCTTGACAAACTTTTTTTGCAAACCACACTCCACTTCTCATGCGGCATCTCCTGACACACATTCACATCTTTGCATGCAAAAAAACAAAAAATCCCACAAACACCCTAGCAGTCAATGCTTTCCACACTCCACTGCTCCACTGTAGCTAAACAGGCTAATATGAAATCTGAATTTTGGGGGGGAAAAGGCGCTTACCTGATTCACAGGCAAATGTCTTGGATGTGTCGTCACAGAAGATGATCGCCACAGCGTGCTTTTTTGTCTCCCGCGGCATCCGGGTAATGTTCTTGATGTTATGGAGCTCAGTGATCTAAAGAGGAAGGAGAGAGTGGCAGCAGCACATTACCTTGAATGAACACAGCCAGGAGCAGCAGCAGCAGCAGCAGCAGCAGCAGCAGCAGCAGCAGCAAAGGCTTAATTGCCATCTTGCACCGACTTCACTGAAAGTGCAATAGTAGTTAGAGGCTTAGCATATAAAGGATGGCAAAGTGAAACAGAAATCTTAAGGGACAGATAAATAACAGCAGTTTTTTCCGCTGATTACAAAAAGCTCTTTTTTAAAAACTAAGAAATCATCTGCACTGTCAGCTGGTTGCAGCGTGGTGGTTGCTGCAGTGGTGTGTAATGTATTGCTGAAAGCACTTAAATGTGACCTGATGCTCGTACTGTATACTCTGTGCATCCACGGTCCCAGTGCCTCTCCTTGAAACTGATTTTCCAGTCAATAGCAGGGGGAGTGCGATCAAAAGCATCTAAATCACTTTACCAGGAGATTGATTGTGAATGGAAAAAAACGAGAAGATTACATTTAATTGAATATCACCCGCATTTACAGGCCATTTTGTTCAACAGTCTCCTCTGTATTCACTCTGCCTGGGAGATAAGGCCCATTACATTATTGTAGTCCATTGTGCGCTAACTGTGGGCCCTTTGCCAGACTGTTGGGAATGAATTAGCTGGGCTCACTGCCCGTATAGTAAAGCATGGCTGTTTAAGGTTAAAAGACCAGACCTAATAACGCACCCAACATATGTGGACCACAGATTTCTTTGCTCGATAACATTACATATCATGCATTTCCCCTCTATTGTCAGACATCCTCTGCACAGCGTTCACGGACACTTTTAAAAGCAAGGAAATAAAAAAGGAAGAGAGAAGGGAGAGGAGGCTATGGATATTGAAAGACAGCAGATATTTTTATTTGTAACTTCTTATCCTCTTCAAAGATGGTATCTAAATATTTTATATAAGATGAGGTGATTTTTTTTCCTCCTGTGAGGAGGATACAGGATGTATTTGTCCTCGGGCAGGCCATTCATACATATAACTGACACAAAGCAAGCATCAACTGTGGGAATTTCTGAGACGTGAATTCCACCAGCCTCTCATCTTCTTCTCTGTTTGTGTAACTGTGCATGTTTTAGTCCCTCTTTGTGTGTATGTGTTTGTGAAGCCGTGTGTCTGAGGGAGAGATTTGGGTGCATTCCCAGCCCAAGGCGCGAGAGTCCGAGCAAAGTGAATCATTTGTGATGAGACCTATTCCTCGTCTCCTCTCGTCTTCCTCTCTCCATCTTCCTTCAAGTTTATTCAGAGGTGTAAGTTAAATCCCAAACCAGGAAGACGATGAGTCTACAGCCAAGCTAGCAGCGGCTCTGTGAGGCTCTACGTAGGCACAGCAGTGCTCAAAGTTATACGCTAATGTCAGCTTGCTAACCAGTGCTAACATGCTGATGTTCAGCAGGTACTCTGTACGCTGCTGGTTCTCTTAGGGCTCTGACAGACCGAGCCGACGGTCAGCTATCGGTCAATGTCAGGCCGTCAGTGAGCATCTGTCGCCCTAGTTTTTATCGTGTGTCCCGCATTGTTGGCACTAATTAGTCATTACCTGCTTTATTTTTTGCCGATTTAGCATGTTGAATCAGCGTTGGAGCCCCAATCACTCTGACTGGCTCAGTGCACGAGAAGAGAGGTGGAAGTGAGGAAAGCAAACAAACAGCTAGTCAAGAGGGCATGAGATAGAACCAAACTCATTATATGATCCAAGATTACTTGTTTTAGCCACTGAGCTCTGTAGTAAAACCTGTTTGCAATTGTCTGTGTTTCTGTTCACTAGTGCACAATTTGTTCTTTCAACATTGGCTTGTGTTGTTAATTTTCTAACTGGTGTCTTGAATCCGTCCTGTCTGTCTTGCAAACCTTTTTGAATGACGAGTACAGCGTTATTTCCCCTCACGCAGGCGCAGAATGTACATGCAACTCGGCCGTTGGCTGTAGACTTTGTGGTGTGTTCAGGTGCAACTTTTTAGCTGAGACATAGGTGACATGAGGCGACTCAACAGTTGGCCTTCGTCGCCACTAATTCTTTGATGTTGGTTTGGTGTGTCTGGGCCTTTAGTTTACTGTGTTAGCATGCTAACATCTGATCTGTAATTGAGGCTGATAGAAATGTTATTAGTTAGCAAATATTTAGTTGTACACTAAAATACGGGGCAAATTTTGACTTGATGATGGTGCTAGATGAAAGTTAATGGACCAATACAGTGATTACAGTAGATTCTGAGAGGTAGATGATTGTCGGTACCAAATTTCTTGCCAATCCCTCCTGAGATATGACACAACAAGGCTGAAATGTCAACCTGCTGGTGGCACTAGAGGAAAGGTCAGGGGATAATCAGTCATTAGGATTCATCCTCTGGGGAACATGAATGTCTGTACAACATTCAGTGCAAGCTATCCAGCAATTGTTGAGATATTTCACTCAAAACCAAAGATGTGGTCCAGCCAACCAACTGCGCTATATTCTTTGTTTTCATTCATTTTCCTTAACCGCTTATTCTGTTGGGAGTCGAGAGGGGGCTGGAGCCTATCCCAGCTGACACTGGGGGAGAGGCAGGGTACACCCTGGACAGGTCGCTAGACTATCACAGGGCTGACACATAGAGACAGACAACCACTCGCACTCACATTCACACGGACAATTTAGAGTCACCAATTAACCTGCATGTCTTTGGACTGTGGGAGGAAGCTGGAGTACCCTGAGAAAACCCACCCTGGGTTCAAACCAGCAACCCTCTTCTTGTGAGGCAACAATGCCAACCACTGCACCATCATGCCACTTTCCACTAGAGGAAAAGTCAGGAGATAATCAAAGTCATCAGGATTCATCCTCTGGGGACCATGAATCTCTGCACAAAATTCAGTGCAAGATATCCAACAGTTGTTGAGATATTTCTCTCAAAACCAAAGATGTGGTCCAGCTGACAAACTGCACTATAGTGTGACTGAAACCATCTACTTCCACATGCACATACTGTGTTTAGGCATTTAAATACAGATCCATCTCTCCACTTTAGCTGCCTCTGTCAGGAGCTCAGGAGAGCTCAAGAAGTGTAGCGCACACACACACAAGAAAACAACTTTTCACAGGGCTAAAAATATTGCTAAAAATATTCAGGGATTGTTTTACTGTGTGGACCAGCGCTTCTCAGACAGAGAAAAAGGCACAGAGAAAGCGAGAGGGAGCGGAGGGGGAGTAAAGGGGGATATGGAGAGAGAAATAAAAAAGTGGGATAGAAAGCCAATCCCCTTTGTGTTGATTCTGTAAATCAGCCACCAGTGCAGCCTATTTCCTCCCAAAGCACTGCAGCGTTGAATGAAGCCCTCAGACGGGACCTTTCTTGATCTTTGTGGCGATGCATTACCAGGTGCACTGGTGCATGTGTGCACTCATCGCTCACTCCGGCGCTGGGTGTATGGGATGCCTCTGGGAGGAGGTGGTGGGGGGGTTACAGCCACACAGAACACCCCGTGTGACAGCATGATGCAGTAGGCAGGGAGAAGCTTCATTCACAATACACGGCTGGTACTGTAGCAGCGGGGGGATGCTAACAAAGTGGATCTTAACATCTTCCGAGCTTGTGCATGCATGCATTCTGAGAGAGACGGAGGTAATTTCCACAGTTTTGAGAAATCCCCAACCTAATTCATAATGACACGATAACAGACAGCCTGTTAAAGACTACGAGATCAGCTCTCCAACTACAGCAACATGGCAAACCTGGTGTCAAAGTCCCCTATTATCTGCTCTTATCTCCTCTCATTACTATAAAACACTGTTCACGGTGGTACTCCTTTAACATCGTCTCCTCTCACCATGATAATGAGCCATAATTGGAGTATTTCAAAGGGCTTAAGAGGCGGGGAGAGATATATATACTGGATTATTACTTTCAAAAGGGAGGGAAAGGCCCAGAGGAGAAGATAAGGTTGCAAAATGTGTCTTAATGGATCCTTAACTCCATCATCTGTGGCCAATGGATGGAACTTTTTATATAAAGATGAAAATAAGGTTCTTGGTAAGAGTGTGTAACACAGCTCAGTACTCAGGATCTACTCCATAGGTTTAATATTCTTTATTTTGTAATTGTAAACACCCACCTTGAGAAAGATAATCCTACAAAAATGCTGCATTTTACTGCATCACATTCATTGAGATCAATTCAAATCATAACCTCGCTGGAATGTGTTTTCTGATGTTTTAAGAGAATACATCTAATGCCCAAACACAATGCCAGGCTCCTCATTTTAGGTGGGCGACCATCGGCGTCAGATTTTATCAGCTAAAGCTAATTAATTCCACCAGTTGGCCAAATTGCAAAATGAAACTCTTGGCTGTTGTCTGGTGAATGTGCTCTGCATGCCAATGTCAGTAGCATTTAGACTCGGCCAGAGACTGTTCCCTGGGAAGTGACACACCAGGTTTAATCTCCTTTTGGTATTCAGGAAGACAAGCTCTAAAAATCAAGAACCACTGGAGACCATGAGTACCCACAGGAGACTGCATATATGGTGTTATTTATTAGTGGCATTATCAGACTTCAAACATGATAGGTGGTCTGATGTGGCATTAGACAAAAGGTCAGGGTGTTACGAGATCATTAGAGATCACACTGCTGAGATTATGAATATTGATTTCTAATTTCATGGCAATCTGGTCACTACAGGTTGATCGACTAAAAGGTTGACGGACGTTAATACCCTTAGGCATAACCGCTAGCAAAATACATGTTAATTTAAACCTTTTGCTTGGTGAAACATGTCTTGTTTCCTACACATAAAATATGTATTCATTAAGATGCATAAGGCTCAAGACAATAAAACAGCCATATACTTTATTTCATACTGGTTTTTTTCAAGCACTATGTAACTTTGAGTTTAGAAACGTGCCTTAGTTACAACGCAACATGTGGTTTAGACTTGCACCAAACAACACTGGTTTCTAGATCTACTTAAGGTCCAATGTGTAGGATTTAGGGAGATATATTGGTAGAAGCTGAATATAATAAGCATGTTTTCTTAAGTGTATAATGACCTGAAAATAAGGATTGTTGTTTGCAGTACCTTAGACTGAGCCTTTTATATCTGCATAGGGAGTCTATAAAGATCGCTATGTTGCACCACCATGTTTCTACAGTAGCCCAGAAAGGAATACCACACACTGACTCTAGATAGGCTCATTCACATTTTTGTATCGGCCACCATAGTTAGCAGCCCCTCTGTAGCAAGAGGGTTTGTTTGTTTTGGCAAAGGAGACCTCTGCGGATAATTCAGCTCAAACCTCCAGAATGACTGGACCTTAACCTCTCAGAGAAAAAAAAGTGACAACATATAAGCAGGTGCTGGGCAGGCGGCCTCTCTGCAACGAGCTAAACACTGTTGAAAAAACGTTAATTTGTAATGTGAACCTGCTTTATTCCATGTTATCACCGATTTAACTCACTAGGTTTGTTTGTTTTGGAGAGGAAGAAACCTCTGCTGATATTTTGCGGTAAAAACCTCCAACACTATGAATACTTACGAAATTTTAATCAGGAGAAATTTCAGTTGGTTGCAATCGGCAACCCTCACTGCTAGATGCCACTAAATCCCCTAAATTTCACGCATTGTTCCCTTAATGTGTGCGAAGACATCTTCAAAACATCTTAAGATGTTTAAGATTGATTTTTACACATTCTTTTTTTTAAATCTATGATGTTACCTTGGATAGGAGGATTATCAGTCATGAAAATACCACAGACTGTATTAAAATTAATGGACGTAGCCACCGTTACCCATTGGTTTGTTGGACTCCCTTTTTGAAGTATTGAGTTTGGCATTTTGGCAGTTGCCATTTTGGATTTTTGGAGTCAGAAGTGGCCTAAGATTTGGACAAGAGTCTGGAGCCGTGGAGAAGCAAGGGGTGGATCTGATTGAGAGCCCGAGGTGACGCCTAGTAGACAGCCTGTCACTTAAAGCAGCTACGCCCTTAATTATGCATAACTTCAAGCCTTAATAACATTTAAATGGTTGTATTACATAGGAATTCCCCCCCCTGTACAGTTGTCATTATGTTGAAATTATGGGTGGCTGTGGCTCAGAGATAGAGTGGGTCATCCACCAATCAGAAGATCGGCCATTCCATCCCCGGATCTTCCAGTCCGCATGCCGAAGTATCTTTGTGCAAGATACTGAACCCCAAATTGCTCCTGATGGCTGTTCCATTGTTGTTAGAGCATGTGAAGGTGTAGAAGGTGGCACCATGTATAAAAGCCTTGGCCACCAGTGTATGTGAATGGGTGAATGTGACATGTAGCATAAAAGTGCTTTGAGTGGTCGGAGGACTAGAAAGGCGCTATACAAGTGCAGTCCATTTACCACTTCCACCATTGGCTACAGAGACCAAAACCATTTTTTTTGTTCAGTTTTTTTTTTGTATCAGTCTGTAAACATGTTTATTTCTGCTGCAAAGTTAGGTAGTTTAACATGGGGGTCTATGACTTGCTTTTGAAGCCTGCCTCAAGTGGCCATTAGAGAAACTGCAGTTTTTGGCACTTCGCATTGCCTTCATTTTCCTGTCCTTGAGGTCACTGCTTGGAAAATATCAGTTGCAGCCATAAATTACAAAATCACTGCAGATTAATTTACTGTTTGTTATCTAATCCAACATCTAAATGAATCAGAATGATCAAAATTTAATCTGTGTTGTGTTTCAGTCGTGTGTGTTTACCTTGTGGAAGCTCCTGAAATAGGCTGCCTTCTCATCTGGGTACTTCTCTAACCGTCGGGGTCCTTTACTGGAGGCCTTCTTGAACACCAGCCAACACCTCCGGAAGATCTGACAACAGAGAACGACAGTAGCCCCGTTACTGAAACACAAGTCTCCCGGAGCACAGACATATGTTTTAGTAACTGAAGATCCAGACAACAGCAGGACACAAACAGACTGTACAAAGAGGTCGACCCCCTGTAACCACAGAATAATAAATAAACCAGAAGAACCTGACATTGTACTAACAGGACAGAAAAATCAACTCCTGCTCTACCAAAGCAAAGAACAGAGAAATCAATGCCAGCTACCATCCTGGAAGTCAAACTCACTGCTAACTACTAAAATCCACCTCAGCAAAATGCCCGAACATCAAAGCAATTGAACTCTTTAAAGCAGCTGTGAATGTTTTTTCCATTGATCAAAATATAGATTGGCCTCAGGGTTAATTCACGTCATTTACCAGTGGAAAACACTGACATAAAGTACATTAAAGTGATTCTCACCCTGATGAGAGTAAAAGCACCAAACAACAGATCTGAGAAAGGAAATGAAACTATTACGCCTCATGAATCAAATACATCCGACAATACATTTTTGGAATGTATCTTATTCAAATGTTATGATGTCGTTATTAATGGATTCAGATAATACACTGGTCTGTCTATGACAGCTGATCGTGCATTATCAGAGTTTTAGGACTTGAGTAAATGCTTTCATTTCAGTCAATGGCAACTGCAGTTACTCTTCCTTTGATTGTATGCATGGGGTCAATAATGCTGAAGTATTGTGGGCTTACAAGTTGTTCAGATCGCACGTACAGAATACGTTATTCTCAGTCTTCTGACAAATCACTCATGGGATGAAGGATTAGGAAAAATACTTCAGTGGTTGTTTTTATATTGAAGTTCTCAGTCTTGTCAAGGCATGTACAGAATATTTTGACAAGCAAATGAAAGAATTAGGATACAACAGAGAAAGGGGACGCTCCTGCTGTGCGATGGTCTGATGCTGAGAATTTGGTTTGATTACATTATAAGTCAGAATCCTCACCAGTGCCCTGAATCTTATGCTGTGTCTCAAATTGTGTACTTCTGTACTTACACTTAATATTTTGAGTGCATAAGTGCTTTCACACTGAGAAGTATGGAAAAATGCAGTGCACCATGAGTACCCGGATGGTGTACTCAAAATGGTCAAGAAGATGAGTGTGGAACTATGGACACTTCTCACCCTCAATGGTCGCCATCTTGGCTATGTAGAGGAAGGGGAGGGACCACTTTTCAAACTGGAAATAGCAACCGTGAACGTTGCTGCATTGTACAAATACATGTTTTTTGCACTAAGTACCACTATACTGTTGTGGGGTATAAACCAGCAGTATGTTTATTGGGTTAATTTAGCAGTCTGTAATGATTTTGTACCGCGAACAATAACGCAAATGCTAATGCTAGTTTGCTAACTAGCTAATTTGCGGTCTCCATTTCCAGTGAGTGCACAACAGCCGTATTTGGTTTGAGACAACACTACCCTGTCAAAATTCGTGCACTACGTCAATGAGTACATAGTGCACATAGTATACTACATGGAAGTGTACTAACAGAAGTACGCGATTTGAGACACACCATTAGAACTCAATAAGCTACAATCACCAAAACTGCCTTACAGCATATGCTAAAGGAACACGGAAAACAATAAGTAAACTAGGGAAATAGATATCTACTTTTAGTAAATCTATATATTTTACCAGAAGAGAATTTTGGGTAATAAAAAGAAATCATTTGATTTATTTAGAGACTTTTTGTATAAATTAGAATCCAAACCCTGAATATTTTCAGTGATTATTTTATTCATTTATTTCCCAAATTTTTCAGTGAAGTCACTAATTTACTTATCAGCAATAAGGATGTTCCATCTATTCATCCATTTTCATCTGCTTGTCCAGGGCCAGGTCGCAAGGACAGCAGGCCAAGCAAAGCACCCCAGACGTCCCTCTCCCCAGCAATGCTTTCCAGCTCCTCCTGGGGGACCCCAAGGTGTTCCCAGGCCAGATGAGATATGATATCCCTCCAGCGTGCTGTGGTTCTGCCCTGGGGCCTCCTACCAGTGGGAGATCCCTGAAATACCTCTAACGGGAGGCGCCCAGGAGGCATCCTGATCAGATGCCCGAACCACCTCAACTGACCCCTTTCAACGCAGAAGAGCAGCAGCTCCCTCTGGATGTCCGAGCTCCTTACCCTATCTCCAAGGCTAAGCCCAGCCAACCCACAGAGGAAACTCATTGCGGACGCTTGTATCTACATTCTCATTCTTTCGGTCACTACCCAGAGCTCACAGGTGAGGGTTGGGACGAAGATGGACCAGGAAATTGAAATCTTCACCTTCCAGCTCAGCTCCCTCTTCACCACGACGGTCCAGCGCCCACATCACTGCAGAAGCCGCACCAAATGGCTGATCCATCTCACAGTCCATTCCAGTGTTTCCGGCAGAGAACCATGGCCTCAGATTTGGAGGCTAAGGGATGTTCTTTCTCTTACATTTACACGGAATTTTAAACTTTGAAAAGTTGACTATTCTAAAACTGCACAGAACATCAGACACCAACGGCTACCTGCCCTGGACAACATCTTCACCTCCCGGTGCCTGCAGAAAACACATAACATCCTAGAAGACTCCATCCTGCTCATCACCTGTTTGATTTATTTCATTGTATGTTTGTACAGTGACAATAAAGATATCTGGATCTGAATCTGAATAACCAAATCGTATTTTAAATTCAAGCTGTCATGATCCTGGGTTTATGTTCTGTTATCCTATGGCCTTAATTTAGGAGTTTCCTGTTTGTGTTCTTCCTTGTTTCATGTTATTCATTCATGTTTAATCTGTTTCCTGTATTATTTTGTAGATTCTCTCCTCATATGTCGTGTCTGCCTTTACTTCCTGTCTTTGTGTGTGTTCCCGCCTGTTTTCTGTCACACCTGTCTCGTTAGTCCTTCCCTGTTCCCACTTCCCAGAGTCTTCCCTTCACACCTGTTCTGTATTAGTCTTGTTTGCTCCACCCTTGTTGTTAGGCAATCCCCATTTCCCTCCTTTTGCCCATGTCTTCCTACTCCAGCTGTGTCCCATTCCTGTGATTAGTTTTCTGTGTACATACACCTGTGTGTTTCCCTTTGTTCTTTGTTAGTTCATCTGTGTCCCTCCTGGGTTCATCCTGTGTTTTTCCTGTGCTCGTCCCTGTGTTCTTGATGTCGTCCATGCTCCGTGTCCTGCCTGATACCTTGTATTTGGATTTTTTTTTTTTTTTTTTTACCCGAGTTCATCGTATTTTTCCCTGTTGGTTTTCAGTTTATTTTTGTTCTGCTTTCATTTGGACTTTCAGTAACCTGCTGTTTTTTATCAGCTGTATTAAAGCTCGCTTTTTGTTAAAATCTCAACCGGCCTGTTAGTCTGCATTTGGGTCCTCCTTAAACTGCTACGTGACAGCAGCAGCCGTTATGAGCATTACACAATATCTTACAAAACATGACGACAACTCACTAAATGAAAGTTGACAAATAACATTTACTGAAAACAATTTTGGGGGAAATTCTTCATTCATTCATTGGGTGAATGCAATCTCATAAAATAATAATAAATGTAATATTTAATTTAACCGAGTAGTATTTCTACACTGCAACAACAGTGTTCTCTTTTGAAAGCAAGCTAAAAACATATCTTTTTTCACAAGCTTTTCGTTTGGTGTTAAAGTGTATTTTTATTTGTTGTAGGAATTAGTATCAGTATAGTTATTATTTCCCCTTTTTTATGAATAATAATAATAATAATAGCTTCTTATGTTGTTTTTTTTATCATGTCCTTGTATATAGTATTTTGTCTGTCATGTATGATGTATCTTAAGCACACTGAGTTTACGCTTGCCAAATGTGCTATGTAAATAAAACTGACTTGACTTTTGATGCAGACTAGCAAGGGAAGCAATGTTCACTTGACTAATCAGCTAATGCGCACATTACTATTTGCAATAGAGCAGAAATGTGCTGTAACGGCAGGCCTTAAACTGCATTTCAGTATATGCAGGTACATAATAATGTTCCAGAACAGAAATGAGAGCAAATGTTCAAAACATCTCAAATTCAACCAAATAAGTCCTACCCCCCCGAGATGCTTTAGACAAACTACACTCTGCTGTACAAGCTTAACAACTTTATAACTGAGTTTCAACCTGGAGTAATGTGCTTCCATTTATTAAAGCCTGTGGAGGACACAGTCACTTTCTCTTCCTTGTTGCCACACAATGTAAACACAAACACACACACACACACACACACACACAGACTCCGTCTCTCACTACAGCAGATTACTGTACATTGTATTGATTACTGGACCACAGTCTGGCCCATCGACAGGCTGAAGATGACACAAATACAGGGTGTTGTATATCGGACTGCTTCAAGGTCAAATCATGAAGAGGGACACAAATGAATGCATACAACACACACACATATATGTGAACACACAAAACACTAACATACACAGGATCCCTCTCTGCAATTTTCTGCATTCTTGTCACACGTAGACTACATATGGATGCACATGCTTGTTTAAACATCTGTCATTGTAACACTATCTATCGTGGCAGTCCTGCGCAAGCCCTGCAATCATTATGAGCGAAGATGAACTGCCCTGTTTTCTGCGCTGATACGTTTTCCAGCTTACACAATGGGTTTTTAAATGCTCCAGAAGAATTTCCTCAACCCATAAAGAAACACTTTATCCCTCAGTTTATATGAAACATTTAAAACCACCACATTGGGAGACACATAGTTTTCTCCGGACAGAAGCATCCCTGGGGATCAATGAAAAGAGCTGTTAATATCATTCCACTGTATTACCCCGCAGCAATGCTTTGGAAAAGCCAGGATTCCAGAGCGTAACCTTCCTCTTTACACTGCCAGTGTCAAGGTGTAAAAAGCCAATACAGACAGTGCAGTGCAGTTGAGAGGCAGAAGAAGTGTGATGGCCAACAGCTTATGAGTCCTATGTGGTTGCCTATCTTTAATAGTGGGACC